ACAAGAGTTGAGCCCATCCAAAGTCAGGAGCCAGGAGCTTCTTCTTGGTCAACCAAGTGCGTGCCGGGGCCCAAGTACTTGAGCCATCTACTGCTTTCCCAAGCCATAGCAGAGAGCTGGATTGGACACGAAGCAGCCAAGACTTGAACTGGTGCACATATGGGATGCAAGCACCATAGGCAGAGGCTTAATCTATGACACCACAGTGTGGGCCCCAACCCTCACTCTTAAATTGCTCACGCAGTGACAGTAGAGGAAAACTGGCAAACTAGAGATACTAATGTCTATATTTATTTACCTTGTTGCTTTTCGTAAATATTTCCTGGCTTACTTCTGTCTCTACAGCAGTATTTGGAGTGAAAATATATTTAGGTAAGTTGGATGCTGAAAGGAAAATGCAAGTTTTTATATAAAATATTTGGGATATACCAAGGGTTAGAAGGAAAATGGAAGTTATGTTACACTATTACAATTGTGGATGTGGTTTAGAATAGAGAAAGCCCCAGTGGATTCATTGGTTCCATTTTCTTTTTTTTTTTTTTTTTTTTTTGGACAGGCAAGTTAGACAGTGAGAGAGAGAGACAGAGACAGAGAGAAAGGTCTTCATTCCATTGGTTCACCCCCAAAATGGCCACTATGGTTGGCGCTGTGCCTATCCAAAGCCAGGAGCCAGGTGCTTCCTCCTGGTCTCCCTTGCAGGTGCAGGGCCCAAGGACTTGGGCCATCCTCCACTGCCTTCCTGGGCCACAGCAGAGAGCTGGACTGGAAGAGGGGCAACCGGGACAGAACCGGCGCCCCAACCAGGACTAGAACCCAGGGTACCGGCACTTGCAGGCGGAGGATTAGCCTAGTGAGCCGCGGTGCCGGCTGGTTCCATTTTCATTAGTCAATAAAGACTTAGAACTGAAATAATATGGTGAACATATGCAACTTAAAAATATACAGGAAACAATTACTTTTTTTTTTTTTTTTTGACCAGCAGAGTGGACAGTGAGAGAGAGAGACAGAGAGAAAGGTCTTCCTTTTTGCCATTGGTTCATCCTCCAATGGCCGCCGCGGCCAGCACGCTGCGGCCGGCGCATCGCTCTGATCCGAAGCCAGGAGCCAGGTGCTTCTCCTGGTCTCCCATGCGGGTGCAGGGCCCAAGCACTTGGGCCATCCTCCACTGCCCTCCCTGGCCATAGCAGAGAGCTGGCCTGGAAGAGGGGCAACCGGGACAGAATCCAGCACCCCGACCGGGACTAGAACCCGGTGTGCGGGCGCCACAAGGCAGAGGATTAGCTTATTGAGCCATGCGCTGGCCTGGAAACAGTTACTTTTTAAAAATAAATAAAATTGTGCAAAATTTTGTGAAGGAGATGTGTTGATCTGCTTCATTCATGATAGATCTGATCCTAGATCTCATTGCCAATTTGAAAGGACTTGGGAATCAGAGTCAGTTTCTTAGACTGTCTTGACACTGGGGTAAGTGTTCCTTTGGGTGTATAAAGGTGTACCAATGAGAATGAGGGAGCCCAGACAGTTTCAAGGAATCACCAGCCTGATCCTCAGTGTTTCTGTGTAGTTTTTCCTAAAACTAATCTGCCTGAAAACAAAGGCTGTCACGGGTTTGGGCTTGTTCTGTCTTCTCACCTCACTTTTCCCAGTGGTTCTCACTCTTCCTCCAAGGGGCAGACTCACCTCTCACCCAGCTTGGGTTTTACAATGATGCTCCTATTGCCCCTGGTTGTAAAAATCTCCTTGACTATTTGAAATAATTGGTGTTAATGTTGAGAAAATAAGTTACTCTAATACCTAGATAGGGGGTTGCCAGATAAAATACAGGACACCTAGCTATGTTTGAGTTTTGGGTATCTATTGAAAAGTTTATTAGAACAAATTGTTCTGTGCTTTAATTTGCTAACTCTGGCAATTCTATCTGGATAACAAAAGTTCAGTGGTTTCTGGTTCATTGATCTCAAAATTTAATTGTTTCACTCATAACTAATTAAATTTAAAAACAATTAATTTGAGAGAGAGAGGGAGAGCTCCCATTCATTTGTTCACTGCTCAGATTATGCAGTGGCTGGGTATGGGTGGGGACTGGGTTGGGCCAAAGCTGGGAACTAGGAACTCAACCTGGATCTCCCATGTGGGTGGCAAGGACCCAGCTACAGGAGCCATCACCATGACCTCCCAGGGTCTGGAGCCAGAGCCAGGGATTGAGCCCAGGTACTCTGAAGTGGAATGCAGACATTTTTTTTTTAAGATTGATTTTATTTATTTGAAAGACAGAATTACAGAGAGAGGTAGAGACAGAAGTCTGCCATCCGCTGGTTCACTCCCCAGATGGCAGCAATGGCCGGAGCTGTGCCAATCCGAAGCCAGGAGCCAGGAGCTTCTTCCCGGTCTCCCACATAGGTGCAGGGGCCCAAGGACTTGGGCCATCTTCCATTGCTTTCCCAGGCCACAGCAGAGAGCTGGATTGGAAGAGGAGCAGTCAGGATGAGAACCGGCACCCATATGGGATGCCGGCACTTCAGGCTGAGGCTTTAACCTGCTGCGCCACAGCGCCAGCCCCAATGCAGACATCTTAATTACTAGGTTAAAATGCTCATGCCCTATCTAAATTTTTTAAATTATAAATCATGAAATGATATCTGAAAAATAAAACATCTACTCAAAGGGTTGTGGGAAATTGCTAAGGCAGTATTTCTTCTGGGCCTATATACTTATTTAGGTGAAAAAGATTTTAATATTTAGGATCTGTAGAAATGCAAATAGGGAACAGAATCTATGCTGAGCTCTATTATATTCTAGCAATGTGTAATATTCATGAATGCATACATACTTGAATGATTTGTTTCAAATACACTGGGAGCTGCAACCCTTCATAATAAAATTTTACTTATCTTTAAAATTATTAACATAATATGTTTATATTATTTTGAACAATTTTATACTAGAAGTAATGACACTGATATCAATGGTATTACAATCAATGAGGAATTTCTTGAATACTTTGAGTTTTGTGAACCCAGATAAACAATTAGATCTTGTATTAGTTTCAGAAATATGTGAAAGAATGATCAGAAAAGATATCTAGCATGAATATATGAGATACTTCAAAAAGTTTGAGGAAATGGAATTAAAAGATAAATCCATTTATTTAGTTTAATGATTTATTTGTTTATTTGTTTATTTGAAAGGCAGAGTTACAGAGACAGACAGAGAGACACAGAGATCGTCCGTAAACTGATTTACTCCTCAAATGGCTGGGCCACACTGAAGCCAGGAACAAGGAGCTTCGTGTGGGTGGTGGGAGCCCAAGGACTTGGGCCGTCTTCTACTGTGTTCTCAGGCTCGCTAGCAAGGAGCTGCAAGTTGAGCAGCCAAGAATGGAACCAGCGCCCATATGGGATACAGACAGCGACTTAACTCAACTGCGCCACAATGCCAACCACAAGATAAGTTCATTTTGCTGCCAAAAATTTTGAAACACATGCTTAGTTTTTTCACTATACATATTTTTCATAAACTTTGAAGACCCTTTCTACTATTAGCTTTCTGTAGGGGAACTGGGCTGTCCAAGAACACAAGGCAGTAATGCATTCTGCAGTTATTAAAGATGACCAGACTTAGAGTTTAATGGATGATGCTGGGTGCCAAATGGCTATGGTGTTAAGAGTCCATCACATACATCTGAAAGTGTTATGTCAATTTTTATTTTAAAATATCAGTATTTATGCTTTGCAGTTCCTTTGCAACTATTATGTTTTGATGTTAAATGAAAAATGGGTAAGGGAATGTAGAGTTTGCAAAATTCTTCTGGTGGGTACATGACTAGAAATGTATAAAGATCATGTTTTTTGGTTTTTTTTTTTTTTTCAAAGATTTTATTTATTTGAAAGGCAGAGGTGACCCAGAGGTAGGCAGAGACATCTTCTACCTCCATTGGTTCACTCTCCAAATGCCTCCAGTAGCCAAGGCTGGCCAGTCCACATCAGACACTAGGAACTTCACCTGGGTCTCTCGTGTGGGTGGCCAGGGGCCTGGGCACTTGGGCCATCATCTGCTGCCTTCCCAGGCTCATCAGCAGGGAGCTGGATGGGAAGAAGAGGTGCCGACCTTGGAACCTGCAGCCTGGTATGGGATGCTCACACCCCAAGCAGCAGCGTGGCCTGGTTGGGCCGCAACCTCAGCCCTCTGCCTGCATGCCCCAGAATGAAGTCCTGAGTACCCCTGGTGGGCTCTGCCTTTGGTCGGTGACTACCGTTGTTCTACTGGAAAATGTTAAATTCAGATAGGCTCTCTTTGCCCATCTGGAGCCTTGGCCAGTGTTGCCCTTAGTTAAGAGCCTTCAGTGTGCTGCCTAGGGAACATGGAGGAAAACAAGGCCCTGTAGTTAGACACAGAGGCCTCAGGTTTCCATGCCAACCTCACTACAACTTAAAGGCCTCCCTTGTGAGACAAAAGGCTAAAAAAAGAGGAATTTCTTCTTTCTAGCCAAGTCCACCCTACTTGTTAAAAACCCCACCCAAAGAAAAGAAGACAAAATGGAAAGCCTTTCAGTATAGGAAATAGTCATTTCAATCTTTAGAACAGTAAAAAATAAACTGAAAAGGAAAGCTGCATGACTTTTTAACATACCCTACATTTCCTTTCAGCTCTATTATAATCAGAACTAAAAGTAAAACTAACAAACGATTTCACAAATTTTCAATGTATTTGTATTTTTTTTAAATACTGAACTTCTCGAGGCCCCTAGAGAAGGCTGGAAAGTCTGACCTTTTGCACCTGCCAAGTACATGCCCATGGGAGGGTAGGGGTCAGGGTGAGGCTGACCACCATTCTGCACTGGTTATCAAGATTTCCTTCCACCCAGGAACAATGGAGCAAAGGTCTTGCAGTAAATACGTTAAGCAAGAGTCATCTTTCAGGGCCACGGAAATCCCCGACTGGGTTTGCCAGGCCACTGATTAAGGGGAAGTATGTGTGGTTATTACCGCTGGAATTCCCCTAGGTCCTAAAAGGAAAGCACCCGCGCTCATGCAAAAGTGCAAGAGCTGGTGGGGAAGCGGTGTGTCTGGCGGAGGCCTTTAAAGGCAGCCACAAGCGGGGCGGCAGGTGTCACTCGCGGGGACCCAGCTCGTCGGTGTTGGCGCGGTCGGCCTAGGCGACAGGCTGCAGTGAGTGTGCGTGTGCCTGTGTCTGTGTCTCTGTCTGTGTCTCTGTGCGCCCCTCCGCCCACGGCGCGGGGAAGAGAGGTGGCTCCGGGCGAGCGGCTGCCGAGCCTCTGCCCGCCCTGCCGCCCGCCCAGGGGTGCTGGCGCCGCAGCAGGATCCGGCGGGCTTCTCTCCTTCCTTCCTGTTCCATCCCACCTTCCTGCCGGCTGCAGTTTCTATTTCACTTAGGGGTGCACCAGTGGAAATGGTGAAGCTTTGACATCTCAGTTCGATTGCCGGGAAGTGTCACTGGGGCTTGGAGGGTTCCAGATATGCTTCAGGACAAAGCCCAAGCTGGAGCTGGACGCAGCAGTCTCAGTAAAATACTTAGGGAACCGGCAGAGGGATGCTCCTGAGCGGTGGTGGCACATGCACTTGCTTGGGGTCACCATGGAAACCCAAGGGGGCTCTTAAACCAATCAGTAAATTGTTGGAGGTGTTTTACTTAATGCCAAAAGAACAATTCTAGTAATTTTACATGTATTTTTCCTGTTTGATGATCACCATCTTAAGAAGCAGGTACTGTAATGTATTCTGCCTTTTGATACTGAGGCTCTTGTAGATTTACTTGTCTAAAGTCCTGCTCTTGCTTAGGGGAGACTGGTTGGTATTGGATAGCACAGACGTCTGGCCCCAGTGCCTGACACTAGGCTGAGCAGTCTTTATCATTAATGTAAAATTGATGTCCTCAACCCCAGGCAGATGAGGGCACAGCAGCCATGCAGAACTTTCCTCAGGTTAGCAAAAATGTTGGCTAAGTTTCCATCTGCAGCCCAAAGGTCAGGCTTTAGGTGGGATCCCAAGTCCTGTGGATGCTGTGGTTGGGGGGGGGCTGGAGGGGAGCTGAGGCAAGTTCCTGTTCTGAAGGAGCCTGCAGTCCAGAGGAGGCAGAAGGGGAAAGTTCAGGTCCTCCATCCTCAGAGAAATGAGTTTGTTGAGTGCCCAAAAGCGTAGGGACTCCCAGTGACCAGGAGTCAGGGATGCTGCCCACTGGAAATTCTGACCTAGGAAGAGAGAGGGCTGGGGACACAAGCTGCCCTGAGGGGGAACTGCCAGAAAGGAAAGAGGAATTCCAAGGGGGTGGTGTTGGAGCAGCTGGGCCCATTGCTAAGAGGAAGTGGGCCCCAGTGGCAGATGCAAAACTTCCCCTTGGTTCTAGCAGAAAAGCCTTGGTGCTGAGAGTAGTTGCCATGGTGCTGGTTGTACGGAGTAAATGAGAGACAAAACACGGACAAAATTAACCGTAGACACAGGTTCGGTTTGCTCACTGAAAAAGGCAGGTGAGACACAGGGCACTGGCTGCAATGGAAAGTGGATTTGTTTTAGTTTGTTTTCACTTGAAAGCTGAAACTTAAGCAAGATTGTTACAGGGAATGAAAAAGGCCAGTGGAGACTAACAGTTGAAAAAATGAGGGGAGAAGGGCTGAAAAGATTTCTGAGGCAGGAGGAGAGGATGGGGTCCCATAAAGAAGCAGCTGGGGTGGGGGGTTGTGAGCAAAAAGACATGGTTATGAGAGCGTGAGAAAACTGTTGCTCCTTGACATCCCTTTTCCTTGAGAAATAGAAAGCAAAACAGTGCTCGATCGTGGGATGGCAAGTAGTGAGGGAGAAAGCAGAGGAGGGTACTGAATGGTTAGAAAGGAGCTGGCAGAGGGCAGGTGGCTAGGGAGCTGCCAGGGCCCGGAGTGCTGGTCCCATTCTGTAGGGCAGTAGATGGAATCCTGCAACATTTGGATGTCTGTGTAGGGAATGGGTAAGGCAGAGGTTGAATTGATCCAAAGGTAACGTCTTAGCCTATTTTTGTGTATTGGATGTTGCCTAAATTTCCACAAACATATGCTTTGTTTCCATACCAAATCTTCTTTTATAGCCTTTGAAATATATTTCATAAAACATCTATATAATTTATGCATAATATAAAACAAATAAAATCAATTTTAATAATATAAATATATGGTCTTTTAAATATAGGTATCAGAGCTTCTTTGAGATAGTCTTCATCTCCACAAAGAAATATGCTTCCCTCTCATTTTTCTCCAAATATGTGTCCCTCTTTGTCTACCTCTCATTTGGTTACTATTGATGGACATGAGAGTTGTAAGAATTTCATGTTTCTTATAATTCTATTGTAAGAAAAATAACAGTGCCAGGTGAATGACAAATAGTAACTGACGGTCTCTGTGTCAGGCAGTCAAAATACAGTGCCAAAGTGGAGAGCAGGTGCCCCGTCTAAAAGGTACAGCTGGTGCTCAGCTCTCTTGCTAGGATTGCCAAGCAGGGATACAGGGCCGAGCTGCCAGATTCTCATGTTTTGTTTTTATTTTTGTTTTTAAGAGAAGTTTTGAATCTAGAATGTCTTAGGAAATCTCTTACATTGAAAAATGCGGCAATTAACTTACTATAAGATTTGAAGATATTGTGGTCCAAAAAAAACCTGGTTTGGAAAATTGGCTTTCTATCAATGTTAATTTTCTGGTCTCTATAATTATACTATGGTTATAGAAGATGTTAACTTTGGGGAAGCTGAGTGCAGAGTATGTGAATAGTCTTTTTACAAGTTTTCTCTAAGAATAAATTAATTTTAACACAAAAAGTTAAAAAAATTAGTAAGATATTATAATCTAATTCTGTGCCAGCCTAACATAGTATGTCTCCTGGTCACAGGATATTTCTGGTCTTTATCTGGGATTTCGTGGTTCCTGCAGTGTCTACTATATCATCTTGTACATAGCACATACTCAGTACAGTATTGATAATACTGTGCTAGTATTGTACTCTATTTGGAGAAAAAAATGTTTTAAAGTTAATTATATTACATCTGTGAATTATTTGACTTTTAAAACTGTCTCTCTTTTTTAAAAACAGGTTTACGAAGGAGGAAAACCGTTTTGCTTCAAGATTTTTTTCCCCTAATTTCTTCTACAAATCAAAACATCTCAACATGGAGGCTTAATTCCCTTAAAAGGGACTTAGTCTAATCTCGGGAGGTAGTTTTGTGCATAAATAAACAAATTAATCAATTAACCGGCATTTTTGTTACAGAAGCCAAAAAGTGTTCATTTTAAAATTTTGATCTAATTATATGAGGTATAACTGTATGAGTTTGATTTTGAATTAGATTTGTAGGAGTAAAGAATAGGAGTGATTGTAGCTGGGGCATACTATTGAAGCACTCTTTTGCAAGATTGGCTTGGCAATTTCCTGCTGACTGCTGTGTAGAATAAAACAACAAACCTGTATTTGTGAAGATTTAACAATGATCGACAGTTATCTAGAACAAAAAGTCAATAGTCAACACGTGGTAAAATTAGAGAAGTATGCAATTGAAACTTTTGATCTGTTAAGAATTTTCTGCCAAGAAATGTCAATAACAAAATATTTTGATAGGTACAACAAATTTAGAGGAAATAGGAAAGATAAACGTGATGACTGGTGAAGAAATTATCCAGTTGCAAGATTTGTTCAAATGGGCTGTTATTTCTGAGGATGATGGTAGAATGGTTACCTTTTGGTAAACGAACAAAGTGACTTGGAAAGCAAATCTGTACAAAGACAGTGATAAATCTAAAGAAAGGTTGTATAGCCATGTGTGAAATCTTGGCCGAGTGAAAGGACTGATGAAGTTAGACACAGTGACTTCCCTTTGCAGGAAGTATTCATGGGTAGTGAGACAGGATGTTTCTCCCACCACCTGGACACAGAGTACTGAAATCTGCAGTTAGAAAACCCCAACATCTGTGAGATCAAGGAAACCATGCTTGCAAATCACTGATAGAAAAATCACAATGACTTGTTACTGGTCATTGAGAGTATTATTGTCAGAGAACTCATTTACCAATGGCTAGTAAGTCATAATTGGGAAATTCTGAATTTTGACAAGGTTTCTGCTGTTCAGATGGTAAATTTATTATTATTTTTGTGTTGATACATTCTGGTTCGAGGTATGCTATCTGTGAAGTAAGTTCTGCCCCAAACTAAATTTGTGTAATTTGACTATCCATTTTAGACTTGCCACTTTCTGTCTTTTGAACTGTTTTTAAAAAAAATTCAATTCCAGAGTGGAAAATTTAATGTTGGCTCTAGGGACAATTAGGAAAACAAAATTGTTTAAGCAGGTGATAAGTTGAATAACTCTACCATGTTATCCCCAAACAAAACATCTGGAAAGGATTCATTATTTTATAACCATATCCGAATTATCTTAAGAAAATTTTTGTTTAGCCAAGGGAACACAATATGTAAAATGACTCTGTTTTTCCAAAAGAACCCTGAATATAGTAATTTAGTGCAATTTTGTTATTGGGGGCTTGTGGCACAATCTCTGTTTGCAACACCTGTTATTTACCATAATTATAAGGGGTATTTTCAGGGTCAAGCCAACCATGCCTTTAGGATGACAAAGCAGTAATGTTGAGTTGCTTTAACAGCATGAAGTTGGGTCCAAAAGACCAACCAAGCAAATATACTAATCTGATGATTTATTTAAAATAGAATGTTTATTTTTTTCAAGATCTTAGAGTATCACTCCAAGCAAGCATGTTTCTCATGATCTGTGAGGAAGTGTACCTTAAGAAGTAAAGAATGCTGCTAATTAAAAAGTTTTGCCATCAGTGGTTAGACAACTGTCAATAGCAGGTATTCAAACAGGCACCTTAGAAGCAATGGAAGATCGTAATTCTTTTCCTCCTTTGACTTCGGTCTCATGCTTTTTTTTCTTTTTCCTGGCAAACAAATTTCACAACTTCCAACAAGCTAAATAAATATGATTTGAATATGTTGCTAGAGACCTTTGTGGAGCACGGCTTTGTGCCATGAAAAGCAGCTTGCTTTGAAGTCATTTTGTCTTTAGTTGAATGCCGCTGAAGCAGGAGTTGACCTGTGCCCGGCACTCTGTGGCATCTTGAGGACCTAGAACACTTTAGCTTCTATCAAGTTTGAGTTAGCTTTTGTCACAGGTCACTCATGTTTTCACTGTGTGTCAACAGGAGTGTATCATGGTGTGGTGAGGCGTAACTGTCTGTTAAAAATATCTGTCTAGGACGTAGAATCTTGCAGAGCTGAAACTCTATACTCAGAGAAGAAAAAAGAATGAATGATTTCTTATTTTCCATGATGCTCAAACTAAGGAAATCAAAAGCAATGCACAAAACTACCTCCCCAGAGAAAGACTAGTCCCTTTTCCTCTGCTTACATTTCATCATGAACATAGTAGAAAATAGCATCTTTTTAGCGAATTTGATGAAAAGCGCCAACACTTTTGAACTGAAATACGACTTTTCGTGTGAGCTCTACCGAATGTCCACATATTCCACGTTCCCTGCTGGGGTCCCTGTCTCGGAACGGAGTCTTGCTCGTGCTGGTTTCTATTACACTGGAGTGAATGACAAGGTCAAATGCTTCTGTTGTGGCCTGATGTTGGATAACTGGAAACAAGGAGACAAACCCATCGAAAAGCACAGGAAGTTGTATCCTAGTTGCAGCTTTGTGCAGAGTCTCAACTCCGTCAACAATTGGGAAGCAAACTCTCGGTCTACTTTTCCCTCTTCCGTCACAAACTCCACACATTCATTCCTCCCAAGTTGGGAACACAGTGGCTATTACAGCGGTTCGTATTCAAGTCTTCCATCAAATCCTGTAAACTCCAGAGCCAATCAAGATTTTTCTGCCTTCAGGGTGAGTCCCTACCACTCTGCGATGAGTACCGAAAAAGCCAGATTACTCACCTTCCAGTCGTGGCCATTGACCTTTCTGTCACCGATGGATCTGGCAAAAGCAGGCTTTTACTACGTAGGACCGGGGGACAGAGTGGCTTGCTTCGCCTGTGGGGGAAAACTGAGCAACTGGGAGCCGAAGGATGATGCTATGTCAGAACACCTGAGACATTTCCCCAACTGTCCATTTGTAGAAAATCAGCTCCAAGATGCTTCGAGATACACCATTTCGAACCTGAGCATGCAGACCCATGCTGCCCGCTTCAAAACATTCTTTAACTGGCCCTCGAGTCTTCTAGTTCATCCTGAGCAGCTCGCGAGCGCAGGATTTTACTATGTGGGTAAGGAACTTGACCTGAGAACAACAAAATTCAACATGTGGGCTCTCTTGTACATTCCAGTGGTCCAATGATACATTTTTCCTAAGTGTTGGTCCAAAATTCATTTCAGGTCACAGTGACGACGTCAAGTGCTTTTGCTGCGATGGTGGACTGAGGTGCTGGGAACTGGGAGATGACCCGTGGGTGGAACATGCCAAGTGGTTTCCAAGGTAATTGTTGTCAAATTCTGTTTGCAAACTTTGTGATTGTTCTTCGGTGGGATTTATGTGTTGACTTTATAATTAGCCATTATTTTACCTTGCCTCCCTTTCAAAACACATCTGTGAATAAGTTGGCTAGTTAAATAAATAACTACTTGAATTTTGATGGATTTAAGGGAAAGAATAAGTAGGTTTGATTTTATTTAATTTTTAAAGGAATATATATTAAAATAATTCATGTTCAGAGTAAGAACAAATTCATACATGGTAGAAAAGTGCAGAGAAAGAAAATTAAAATGACCACGGTTGTTATTTTGGTGGACATCCCTCCAGATGTCCCTTTTTTAAAGATTTATTTATTTTTTTATTTATTTGAAAGGCAGAGTTACAGAGAGAGAGACTGATTGACTCCCCAAATGGCTGCAAAACCAGGGCTGGGCCAGGCTGAAGCCAGGAGGCAACAGCTTCTGGGTCTCCCATGTGGGTACAAGGGCCAAAGCACTTGGATCATCTTCCTGCTGCTTTCCCAGGCACATTAGCAGGGAGTTGAATCAGAAGTGGAGCAGCTAGAACTCAAACCTGTGCCCATATAGGATGCTTATACTGCAGGCCAGGGCTTTAACCCTTTGCCCCGCAATACCAGCCCCAAGATGTCCTTTTTTAAAGAAAAAAAAAAATAGAGGCAGAGAAAAAGCAAGAAGGAGCAAGCAAGACAAAGTGCTCCCTTTTGCTGGTTCATTCCCCAAATTTGCCACAATACCTGAAGCCAGGTTCCCACATACGTGGCAGAGAATCAACTACTTGACCCATCACCTGCTGCCTTCCAGGGTCTGCATTAGCAGGAAACAAATTTGGAGCCAGAACTGGGAATCAAATCCAGGCACTCTGTTGTGGGATGTAGAGTGTCTTGATGGCTAGCCTAAAGGCCTGTCCTGCAGATATTTCTTTTTTTTTTTTTTTTTTTTTTGACAGGCAGAGTGGACAGTGAGAGAGAGAGACAGAGAGAAAGGTCTTCCTTTTGCCGTTGGTTCACCCTCCAATGGCTGCTGCGGCCGGCGCACCACGCTGATCCGATGGCAGGAGCCAGGTACTTCTCCTGGTCTCCCATGGGGTGCAGGGCCCAAGCACCTGGGCCATCCTCCACTGCACTCCCTGGCCACAGCTGGCCTGGAAGAGGGGCAACCGGGACAGAATCTGGCGCCCCGACGGGGACTAGAACCTGATGTGCTGGCGCCGCAAGGCGGAGGATTAGCCTAGTGAGCCGTGGCGCCGGCCCAGATATTTCTTGATGTATATGTACATAGATACATATATGTATATAATTTTATATGAATTAGATGTTATATGTAACTTTGTCAGTCCATATATGTTTTGAGCATATTTCCTTTCATTAAACTATTCTAGGTGCATAAAATAGTTGAACAAAACAGAGACCTCTGGTATTTTATTTTTTGGTTTTGTTCAAAGATTTATTTATTTATTTGAAAGGGACAGTTACAGAGAGGGAGAGAGAGAGAGTGTGTCTTCCATCTGCTCATCTGCTGGTTCACTCCCCACATGGCCACAATGGCTGGAGCTGCATGGATCCGAAGCCAGGAGCCAGGAGTTCTTCCGGGTCTCCCACATGGGTGCAAGGGTCCAAGGACCTGGGCCATCTTCCACTGCTTTCCCAGGCCATAGCAGAGAGCTGGATCGGAAGTGGAGCAGCCAGGACTTGAACCCATGCCCATATGGAATGCCGGCACTGCAGGCAGTGGCCTTTACCTGCTACACCACCGTGCCAGCCCCAACCCCTGGTCTTATAAACTTACTTTATAGCCGTAAGGGACAGACAGTTTTAAAAAGCTTACATTAGATAGCATGTTGCAAGATAATAAGTGCTATGGATAAAGAGAAAAAGGAGAACAGGGAGACAGAAAGGGCCAGGCAGGCTGCAACATGAAACGCGGTGTCAGGGTCTATGTAGACTCATCTCATCTGTTCTCATCACTATTCACACTTTACTGTCATGTCTTACACTTTGGATTATTCTACTCTATGCTGTCCTTCTTATCTCAGTCAGGTGACCCATAGCTATAGTTTTTCTGGTCAAAATTTTGAGTATTATTGAATGTTGATTACTAAACTTGGCATTCTAAACTTCCATTATATATACATTTTTAAATATAGTACTTTATCTTCCTTTATAGCAATTTTGTGCTCTCTAACTACTGCAGATTTAAAGACTTGTGAAGAATGTTGGCATTGGGCCTAAGACGTTGGCTAAGACACCCACATCCCATGTCGGACTGCTTGGGTTTGATACCTGTCTCTGGCTCCTGACTCCAGCTGCCTACCAATGCAGAGCCTGGGAGGCAGTGGTGCTGCTTCAAGCTATTGGATCCTTGCCACCCACATGGGAGACCTGGATTGTGTTCCTGGCTCCTGGCTCCTGGCTCGTGGCTCCAGCCCAGACTTAGACCTGGCAGTTGTAGACATTTAGGGAGTGATCCAGTAGATGGGGACTCTATCTATCTCTGTTGCTCTTTCTGCCTCTCAAACAAATATATATTTTTTTAATTATGTAAATTCCCAAGAACACTACTTAAGGGACTGGCCTTGCAGGTTAAGCTGCAGCCTGTTACGTGGGCATCCCATATGAGTGCTGGTACAAATCCTGCTGCTCCGTTTCTGATTCAGCCCCCTGATAATGCACCTGGGAAAGCAGTGAAAGATGGCTCAAGTGCTTGGGCCCCAGCCACCCATCTGGGAGAATCGGATGGAGCTCCAGGATCCTGGCTTCCACCTGGCCCAGCCCTGGTTGTTGCGGCCATTTGGGGAATGAACCAGTAGATTGAAGATCTCTTTCTCTCTCTGTATTTCCGTCTCTCTCTGAAACTGCCTTTCAAATAAGTAAATAGATCTTTTTTAAAAAATAATAAATAATTTAAAAACAGCACTTACATAAGTATTATGAAAAGTACTAACTTTCCATTGTGGTAATTTGGTCATATACATAAATGAATGGCAAATTTAATTTGCTATTGTTAGGTATTTGTTTTGTACTTAAATTTGAAAATGACTGCATATTATCTAGTCATTGCCAAACTTGTGAGTATCTGGCATGAGAAAATGTCTTGTTCCCTCCTTTTTTCCTCTCTTGTCCTTGTTTGTGCATTTTCAGCTTGTAAGCTCCAGGGATGAGCAGTATCATGTGGAGGATTTTCTACCTGCCTTCCTGTCCTTTGTTTTTAGTGTCATGTATCAGGGTGCTTTTAGGAACCACAGAGTAGTTGAACAGAGCAGCGAGAAGCTCCAACAGAGCTTCTTGTCAGAGCAGGCAGAGTACCAGTTAATTCTTCCTCTTGTTATATCAACTTGCCTTCCACTGCAGTGTCTCTTCCTCCTTCCCACATACCAAATCAATGGTGAAGTGGTCATATGTTTACTGATGTTCATTTGAAATATCGACCAGTCCACAAATGGCTGGATTATCTCTGCACAAATTAATATAAATGGTTAAGGCTTTTCAAAATTAGCTGAAGCATACAGTACACTGGTATTTATAGTAAGATCAATTATTAATCAAAAATTATTCAGTAATATTAAATAATACTAATTTTGTAAATAATTCAAACTGTATGAAAAACTTCCTAGTAAACTGGTAAGTAACAACTTTTTAAAAAGATTTATTTATTTATTTGAAAGGCAGAAGCAGAAAAAGAGAGAGAGAGAGAGGTCTTCCATCCGTTGGTTCACTCCCCAAATGGCTGCAACTGCTGGAGCTGGGCCAATCCTGGAGCTTCCAGGTCCCCTATGCAGGTGCAGGGGCCCATGGACTTGGGCCACTTCCACTGCTTTCTCAGGCCACAGTAGAGAGCTGGATTGGAAGTGAAGCAGCCAGGACTTAAACCGGCGCCCACATGGGATGTTGACACTGCAGGTGGAGTCTTAACCTTCTAAGCCACAGTGTCAGCCCCTTATAGGTTAATTTTATGAAAGCTTTTTTGAAAGAAAAAGAAAAGTATAAAATCAGTTCCCTCTTGGCTAGGATCTATTTATTATATTATTCTAACTTTAGATCAGTGATCTTAAAAGACTGTGATTTGGGGCAAAGACTTTATTGGATTTGAAATGGGATAAACACCAAAAGATGAAGAATTTGCATTATTACATTGGCATTTCACCTTTATAAAATAAGCTCCCAAACCTTTATTTTGTTTATTTTTCAGGTGTGAATATTTGATAAGAATTAAAGGACAGGAATTCATCAGTAGAGTCCAAGCCAGTTACCCTCATCTACTTGAGCAGGTAGGACATTTTTTTCCTTCTTATTATTTTTTTAAATTATTGGCTAATAAGAGAGAAGTTATTTTCTGTTAATTACAGAAGATGGTATTTTAATGTTTTAAAAAATATTTTTTTATAAAACCCAAAATTGTCTTAGAAACTACTATTTGGAGAAATGTAGATTCATAATTAGTAACATTGTAAAATTGAATTTGGTAAGTTTTTCTTTAAGTGTTTCTCTGATCAAGTTGCTATAAATTAAACTGAAGGGGGAAAATTGGCAACAATGGTAGCTATAGTAGTTTTGCTATATATATTTTTCTTAAAAATGTTTAAGAATTTTGTTGTTCTTTCTGGTCTTCTTGGGAAAGCAATTAAGAACTTATACAAAGGCATTTCATGAAAAAATGGATAAGCTTATTTTTATGCAAAACAACTTTGAAATGCATGCAGTTTTTCATAGTAAGAATTTTCCATAATAAGTATTTTGCATGAGTTTTTGGAAGACAATACTCTTATAGTTTGATAGTTAAACTCTTCCTAGTCATGGTCAGTGGAACTGATCAAAGGTGTAACTTATCTCAGAGGATGACCCAGGGAAGGTGAGATATGGAGATGGAAGACAAATCGATTGCTTCATGGATCGCTGAAACAGCGTAACTTTTCCTGCTTAATGAAAATAGATTTGTCAAGAAATACATTCACACAGAAATTCTATTCATTTTTAGTCTAGGGAATAACTTTTGAATCTAAATGAAATGTTGCTTGTGATTAAAAGTTATTTTGCTTGTAAGCAAGTCCTTTTTCAATAAATTGAATAAAACAGTTTATTTACTTATTTTTGTTGTGATGGTAGGGTAATATTTGTATTTTAATTTATATAAATTTCCCCCATAGCTGTTATCCACATCAGACACTCCAGAAGATGAAAATGCAGAGCCACCAAGTATGTATATTGACTGCTGCATTGAAATACAATTCTTTGGTGCTATTAAGATTGAAGTTTGATCATAAGAATAATATACACTTGTATTAGTTTATGATACATTTTCAAATATACTCTGTTGGTTTTGCTCAAATTTGAGTGCATATCAGATTTGCCTAGAGAACTTTAAAAATATTGTCGATTTCTAGTTTCTGCTTCAGACCTAATGAAATGAATCAGAATATCTAAGTGTGGGACTTGAGCATCTTTGGTTTCATTTTATTTTTTAAATGTATTTGGTTTTTTGACAGGCAGATTTAGACAGTGAGAGAGAAAGGTATTCCTTCTGTTGGTTCACCCCCCAAATAGCCGTTGCGGCCGGCGCTGCACCAATCTGAAGCCAGGAGCCAGGTGCTTCCTCCTGGTCTCTCATGCGAGTGTAGGGCCCAAGGACTTGGGCCATCCTCCACAGCAGAGAGCTGGACTGGAAGAGGAGCAACTGGGACAGAATCCTGCACCTCAACCGGGACTAGAACCTGGGGTGCCAGCGCTGCAGGCGGAGGATTAGCCTAGTGAGCCACGGCTCCAGTCCTTATTTTATTTTATTTTTTTGAAGATTTGTTTTATTTATTTGAAATACAGAGTTACAGAGAGAGAGAGAGAGAGAGCTCTTCCATTCACTGGTTCTCTCCCTAAATGACCGCAATGGCCAGAGCTGAGCTTATCTGAAGCCAGGAGCCAAGAGCTTCTTCCAGGTTTCCCATGTGGGTGCAGGGGCCCAAGGACTTGGGCCATCCTCTACTGCTTTCCCAGGCAAAGCGCATAGCAAAGAGAAGAGAGCTGGATTGGTACTGGAGCAGCTGGGACTCGAACCAGCACCCATATGGGATGCTGGCACTGTAGGCTGTGGCTTTAACCCACTGCACCACACTGCTGGCCACATGCATCTTTGGTTTTAGTAAACTACATGCAACTAGCTGTGGTAAGAAAAGTGAAGTGTAGTATGTGAGTACATGGGGGACATTTTTTAAAAAAGATTTATTTTCTTTATTTGATAGGCAGAGTTACAGAGAGAGAGAGAGAGAGAGAGAGAATCTTCCATCCGTTGATTCACTTCCCAGTGGCTGCAGTGGCCAGGGGTAGGCCAGGCCAAAGCCAGGAACCAGGAGCTTCCTCTGGTCTTCCATATGGATGCAGGAGCCCAAGCACTTGGGCCATCTTCTGCTGCTTTCCCAGGTGCATTAGCAGAAAGCTGGTCAGCCAGGACTTGAACTGACACTAATTTGGGATGTTGGCATTGCAAGCAGTGTCTAACCTCCTGTGCCTCAACACTGATCCCCATGAGGAACAAGTAACCCAGACTCAGAAATCCGAAGAGGCTTTGTATTAGCAGGGAACCCAAAGGAAGAGTAGGAATTAATATGACAAAGGGAGGAAAAGAGAATTGCAAGTAGAGAGCACAGCATCTGATAGGCCTAAGTGAAATCTAGAAAAGGCACATTTGAAGAGCTGAACAAAAGGAAAGAGTTTCAAACAGATAAAGGAGAGAAGCAGGCCAGCAGTAAAGTGGTCAGCACTGCAGGCAGAAGTTGATCCAAGAGCCGACAGTTTTGGCAAGGGAGGAGGCTGAAGAGGTCAACAGGATCCAGACTGCATGAGAATTTGTAAGCCATGGTTAAAGATTGGATTTCATCCTAGGAGCAGCAGCATTGCTGGTGGAATTTAATGAGTATAATGCAAGCAGATCTGTGTTTTTATTTTTTAGATTTATCTACGTATTTTAAAGAGTTAGAGAGGTAGAGTGAGAGTGAGAGAAAGAGAGAAAGAGATCTTCTATCAGCTGGTTCACTCCCCAAATGGCTACAACAGCCAGGCTGGGCCAGGCTGAAGCCAGGAGCCTGGAGCTTCATCCGGGTCTCCCACGTGGGTGCAGGGTCCAAGCACTTGGGCCATCTTCTACTGCTTTCCCAGGTGCATTAGCAGGGAGCTGGATTGAAGGTGGAACAGCAGAGACTGGAACCAGCACCCATATGGGATGCCAGCATTGAAGGCAGTGGCTTTACCCACTACGCCACAAAGCCAGCCCCAACTCTTCATTCTTATGAGGGTTGATTCTTGGCATGAATATTTCAGATCTAAATACATATTTCATATTCCTACTTTGGTGACTGAAAAATGTGTATAACTTTAAATTTAACAAATATAAAATAGTACCTACGCATCCTCTGGGTTTTATGTTTCTGATAATGCAGTAACTTTCAACTTTAAAAATATGCAGATGATCCTATTGGGTGTGAAATTCTTTGTTCTGTAGTTGTTCATTTTGGACCTGGTGAAAACCCTTCAGAAGATGCAGTCATGATGAATACGCCAGTGGTTAAAGCTGCCTTGGACATGGGCTTCAGCAGAAGGCTAGTGAAGCAGACAGTCCAGAGTAAAATCCTAGCCACTGGAGAGAACTACAAAACCATCAGCGATCTTGTACTGGATTTGCTAAATGCAGAAGATGAAATAAGGGAAGAGGAGAAGGAAAGAGCAAGCGAGGAAAAAGAGTCAGGTACTCGTATTGACTGACATACTCTCTATTTCCATAGAGGCTTGAGCATCACCCCATGGAAGTTACTGGAAATACACACTAATCAATTCAGCCAACCTAGTCAGATTTTCTTATTTTTAATATTCTGAATTCAAATTCTGGAAACTTACTTCACATTGAATTATATTTGAATTGGTCATTAAACTGAAAATGTATGCAGTAAATGAAAAGCATATTTTCCTTAATTCATATTTTTACTCTGAGTGGTTGACTCTGTATGCAATTATTCAGGGTACACTTTTGATCCCGGCTAGTTGCTTGTTTCCCTCTGCTATTAATTAGGATACGATCAGGGAACATTATTATCATCGTTGATTATCAGCATAAAGGTATATCTCAGCTAGTGATTATACATAAATTCACAAGTTAGCATTAAGTCCCTACCTGTCCACACAAGTACTGTGTTCTCTTTCAGGGTGCTCTTTAGTATTTAGGGAGTCCAGGGATGCTGTGTCACTTTCTTTAAAGACAAGTTGCCCAAGTCCTGCCATGCTGCCTTGCGGGCTGCTCTGTTCTCTCCTCTTTTTTCTTTCCAACGTCTCTTCCTCTGAGCAGTTCCGTCCTCTTCTCTGACTGCTATCATTGCTGTGGCCTAGGCAAAGAGAAATGCTGTTGTCTTCTGTGCCATGCTTTCCCAACACAGCTGAAAACAGACTTCACCTTCCACAAGCGCTCACTGGTGATTTAGGGATCATGGAAGGAAATTACATTACAGATGAAAATTTACAGCTGTAACTAGATGCGAATGCTCTTGGTACCCCAACCCTATCCTCATAAATTCCTCTGCTGGCTTCTGGTTCCTCTCTGTGTAGCTCTGGTCAGTTAGCAGCAAATGACTAAGAAAATCCCAAGCATTTCCCTTATCAAAGCTCAAGCCCACAGATAGTTATCAAGCCCAGAAAGAGAAAAGGAGTACCCATTATCTGTGCCCAAGACCATCTGAAATCTATTTCTTTCTAGGATGATTGACAGTCCAACTGTCCACTCCATTCAGGGATAAATCTGTCCCTGCCCATGAAGATAGATTTGTCTTCTGTCCCGTCCAGACATACATAATAAAACTATAGAAATGTAGCTTTATCCATTTACCAAAGTGTGGATTACTCAGTCCTAAACACCCCAATGCAGCAGCAGCACAGTTGAAGTTCCTGTTTGCCCAGCCTCCATTACCTCCTTCCTTAGGAGGTGAGGATTAAACAAGAATGCCTTTCTTGAAGTGGCCTTCTCACTCTCAGTCATAGCCATGGTGTCAGCAGTTGTTCGGAGAACTCTCATCTCTGCAATCGTTGCAACACCACAAAATCCAAAGCTATCTACCCGTAGAATATTTATTTCTTCCACAGAAAATCAACTTTCTTTCTTCCTAAACAAGACTCTAGAGGTGACCTCAAGTCAACAACACACAGTGATTTACACTGTCAAAACAAGAGTCCTAGCCCCTCAGCCTCATCATGCTGTCTCCACTACCTTCATGTGGTGTGTTACCCTCAGTACTTGCTAAGTCTTTTCCGAATGACTTAATGAATCATGAAGTTCATGATTACTTTGCAGTTTCCGAAGATGAGTGGGTGGTATGTGACTAACCAGGTGATTTAGGATTTTTTTTCCAGAATAAGAGAACAATATTCTTTAAGGGAATATTCAAATCTTCACAATTGATATGCCATGAAACAGTCCATGACTTTGAAATGAGACTTTTTCCCAGCTACTGGCAATCAAATTTTAGAATTCTTAAAAACTTTGAAGAATTCATTATAGTCGGTTATGTAAATGGTAATTAGAAAAATAAATCTTAGATGGAAAAGCTAATGTACTTTAACACTAATAAATTATACTTTTATTTTCTAATATATCACTACCACCCTAATGAAGACAATTTAACAGATTATATTAAGCTCCACATCTCTACTCTTTTGCTACCATTTTTGAGTTCCTATTCTAAATCACTAAGGATTTGTTGTTCATTTATTCACCAGATATTTATGGAATATTGATTCTGTGCCAGGACTAGGGCTAGTCTTTTCTCACTTGATTCTCAGAGAGAGCTTCAAATATCTTCAAGCACATATCGGTAGCTATGACCTTTTGACTAAGAAATACTTTTAAAGATGGTTATACTTATTGGTCCTGTTACTTGATAGAGGCAGTGTGTCTAAAATAAAATCTAATAATCAACTCTTCTAAAATAATTCTTCAGATGATCAAATTTGTGCCATTAACTAGGTTATGAAAATGGCTTTATGGATCACAATAAACTATATGATAATTAATAAATATAGATTCATGAGTCATATTATAAAGAGATCATAACATTATTATCTAAAAATACAGGTTTTTTTAACCATTAGAAAATCTAGATCTCAAAGGGAATGAGATGATCCTGTAAGACAAGAAGGTAGTCATTGACAAAGGGGGTTATTTCTCAAAATATTAGTGCCATTTCCTCCTTATCATAAAATAGGTAGTGACAATATGCCGAATTTGGGGAAATGATTAAACTTTCAACTTAATGTGAAATATTGAAGACATTTTATGGAAGAATGATATTTTAAGAAAAAATTATCTTGATTTTACCTTTCCCCTTTTGACTAGATTGAATTGAAATTTCAGTTTTATTAGACTCTAACTTTTATTGGGTTAGGGTTTAGCATAATTGCAGAATGGTCAAAAGCAGGTGTTGTGACACTGGACTGCCTCAGTGTGACCTCTACTACTTGTGTGTCCTTTGACAACTTATATTTTTTGTATTGTTGTTGAAGATTTATTGGGGCCAGCACTGTGGCGGAGCGTGTAAAGCTACCGCTTGCTACATCAGCATCCTTATGGGTGCCAGTTCAAGTCCCGGCTGCTCCACTCCAATCCTGCTCCCTGCTAATGTGCCTAGGAAAACAGCAGAAGGTGGCCCAAGTCCTTGGGCCCCTGCACCTGGAAGATCTGGAAGAGGCTCCTGGCTCCTGGCTTTGGTCTGGCCCAGCCCTGGCCACTGTGGCTGTTTGGGGAGTGAAGCAGCAAATGGAAAATCTCTCTCTCTCCCTCTGTCTCTGTAACTTAAAGAGATTTATTTATTTATTTGAAAAGCAGAGGTACACAGAGAGGGAGAGAGATCTTCCAACTGCTGGTTCACTCCCCAAGTGGCTACAACAGCCAGTACTAAGCCAGGAGCCAGGTTCTTCATCTAGTGTATGGCTGGAGTCCAAGGACTTGGGCCATCCATCTGTCCTTGCTTTTCCCAGGCCATTAGCATGAAACTGGATCAGAAGTGGAGCAGCTGGGACATGCCCTGGCACCCATATGGGGTACTGGTATTATAGGTGGCAGCTTTACCCGCTGCACTACAATGCCAGCCCCAGTAACTTATTTGCCTCACTGTGACTGCGTTTTCCCAATGTGTTAAAATGAGGCATATACCTCAAAAGGCTGTTGTAAAGATGAAATGTGTTAACACATGTAAAGTGCTTAGTCAGTGTTCAGGTTAGAACTTATAATCAGCATTATTATTAGACACAGGGGATCAGCTACCCCCAAGCCTAGCAAGGAACATCAGTGCCTATCTGACTGTGAATTAAAGGTGGATTTCATTCAGTTACATTCAAGCATGGGAGGAAGTCTGTGAGCAAAGTTTAAGCATGTTTGTTGTTTTCTTCTTTTATTAAGATGATCTGTCGTTAATTCGGAGGAATAGAATGGCACTTTTTCAACATTTGACTTGTGTGATTCCAATCCTGGACAGTCTTCTAACTTCTGGAGTGATTAATGAGCAAGAACATGCTGTTATTAAACAGAAAACACAAACATCTTTACAAGCCAGAGAACTCATTGATATTATTTTAGTAAAAGGAAATATTGCAGCCACCGTATTCAAAGATTGTTTACAAGAAACTGACCCTGTGTTATACAAGCATTTATTTGGTGAGTGCTAAAAAATTATTTCTGGGAATTTTCTATATCAACTGAAAGTAGTCTTTCACTAATAATTTATGATTATTAAAATTATTTGACAATTCAATTTAATTTATAAACATTAATTGTATAACAGATTGATAACTGTGTTACCTTGATATTATTCATATTTTTGCTCCAAAACTAAACTGTTCATTTAAAAATATATTCTAGAGATAATATTGGCTTCATCATTGTAATGATTTTTCTTTTTCCCTCCTTAGTGCAACAGGACATAAAGTACATTCCCACGGAAGATGTTTCAGGTAATAGCATTAACACTTTAAAGTCAGTAGAAAACATTGCTTTTATTTTCTTGTTTTTTTTGTTGTTGTTGTTGTTGTTGGAAGAGAAGCAAATAACTGTTAAAAATTCTTTTCTTCTCTTAGATTTACCAATGGAAGAACAATTGCGGAGATTACAAGAAGAAAGAACATGTAAAGTGTGTATGGACAAAGAAGTGTCCATTGTGTTTATTCCTTGTGGTCACCTAGTTGTATGCAAAGATTGTGCCCCTTCTCTAAGAAAATGTCCTATTTGTAGGGGTACAATCAAGGGTACAGTTCGCACATTTCTTTCATAAAGAAGATTGAAACTTTGTTATACTTTAGAATTAATGGATTAAATGTATCATAGTGTTTACTTTTACACTGATTTGATAGTGATTTTGATGTAAATGTTTTATTACAATTCAGAAAACTTTTTGTAGAAATATGCCTACATAAATATGTATCTAGAACATGTGGCCATGCATATTTTAGATAACAAGACAATAATAGGCTTTTGTTCTTATGAACAAAAAATAGGGACAACATTATAAATAAAATACTCAGTGAAAACTGCAGCATTACTGAAATTATAAGTGAAGCAACATTTAAGATATTGGAGTTTTATCTTTCAAAATTTTAAATATCTTGGGCTTTTGTTGAATATTAACAGGAATTCCTTGCATTTTTTATGTATAAGTCAGCATCCTATACATAGAAAGTCTTGATATTTGTTGAATGATTCTTTTTAGGAACATGGTGGTTTTTTTTTTTTTTTTTTTTGAGGAATTCCATGAGGAACAGTTTATTAAAGCAATAGAAATTACTCTTTACCTTTATTTCACCCGCAGACCTCTTCCATACTTCCATACTTCCCTAAGACCTCCTCAGGGCTGAGCCCCAGCTTAGGTCCCTTCCTATAAGATGTTTCTTCATTTATAATGGTACAGCATAAAGATCAACACACCTGGCTTTCATCTGTAGCATTTTATGGGATGCCTGAGACAAAAATCAAACCATCTCCTCAGTAAATTTGTTCATTTTTCCATTGATTCATTCCGGATGTCTCTCGCCATCCCTACCCATGGGGAAAAGCCCCTCATCTTACTCTCACCACTTGAGTATTTATTCTGGAACTTAGTAGCCCTTGGCACCAATAGCTTGTCCTGGTGAGGAAGTGTGTTCTGTTTTGTTAGGACGGCAACATTGCCTCCATTACATAGCTTCATGGATACTCAACACGTCCAACACATATTTCTCTATTCTTTGTTCCCTCTAGAGGTATTAGGACTTTAAAGGCCAGAAGTAAAATGGTAATGGAGAGTAGGGTGGGGAAGACAGGCAAAGACCAATCATCTAAACCGGCCCTAGATATCTGCTAGTTCTAAAGAGAAAGATTAGAGACCACACAGGGGCCGGGGCCGTGGCGCACTAGGTTAATCCTCCACCTACAGCGCCAGCATCCCATATGGCCACCGGTTCTAGTCCTGGATTCTCCTCTTCCAGTCCAGTTCTCTGCTGTGGCCAGGGAGGGCAGTAGAGGATGGCCCAGGTCCTTGGGCCCTGCACCCGCATGAGATTGGCGCAGCGCTAGCCATAGCAGCCATTTGGGGAGTGAACCAACGGAAGGAAGACCTCTCTCATTGTCTGTAACTCTACCTGTCAAATAAATAATTAATAAAATCTTTTTAAAAAATATGTAGAGACCACACAAGGGAGAAGAGCCCATCTTCCATTCTGATGTTGAGAGGCATGTATGCAATTTTACCGCTGCTGAAAGACTCAGCTGGATAGCCACATGCTCACCAGTGTGCTCCTGGAGAGAAATGAGCTGAATCAACTGTAGTCTTGCTTGGGTGATTCATCAATCAGCTATAGGATAAATAGTTGGATGGTAGATGTTCTATTTGCCGCACCTATTTTTCTGTGGTTCTTTTTTGCGCACTATAGTTAATGTTTCTCACCTCCATTCTTGTTCATTAATCATTTTGGTAACAAAAAGCTACCATTACCATCTTATTGATTTAAATATGTTATTGCCCTAGGACTAGTTAAGCTGCAATTTTGTTTTGGAAAACAATAAATCACTCTAGGTAATAAAGGGAGCTCTGTTTGCTGAGTGCGTCTGGTACTGTTATGGGGATTCTGACATACATTCACCCATTTGACTGCCTCCTTCCCCACCTCCATCTAACTGCTTTGACCATCATAATTAGATGGCTGATTTAAGCCTCAGTCTATAATATATAATAAGTTTTGTAATTTTCAGGGGATTTAATTTCATACTTAGGCCACACTTGTTACAGCTTCCATCCAGCCTTTTCATTAGTTTCCTTGTGTTACTTGATGTCATTAAGTGCCATTAAGGCACTGTTATTTAACTTATCTTCACCTCTTTTTTGCGAAGGTGTCACTACCTCCTTTTGATATCTTCCACATCCTAGAATACAGTGTGGACATTTACCAAATAGATTCCTGGCAAAGCTATCAGGTATGATGTTTAAGGGAGTCACTATTTCAGAAGCAAAACTAAAAACCTTTGAAAAGTTATCTGAGGGTTAGTATTGCTTTTTTTTTTTTTTCTATTTATTTATTTATTTGAAAGGGATAGTTACAGAGAGAGGGAGAGACACAGAGAGAGGCCTTCTATCCACTGGTTCACTCCCCAAATCCTGCAACAGCCAGAGCTGGGCCGATCTGAAGCCAGGAGCTTCTTCTGGTCTCCTATGAGGGTGCAGGGGCCCAAGCACTTGGGCCATCTTCCACTGCTTTCCCAGGCCACAGTATTGCTGCTTTTTAAAAAAATTTTTTAAAGATTTTTTATGTATTTATTTGAAAGAGTTACATAGAGAGTTTTTTTTTTTAATTTTTAAAATGTTGATTTAATTGAAAGTCAGAGTAACAGAGCAACCAAAATCTTCCCATCCAGTGGTTCTCTCCCCCAAATACTGCCACAGCCAGGACCGGGATTGGCTGAAGCCAGGGGCCAGAACTCATTCCAGATCTCCATGTGGGTGGGAGGGACCCAGCTGTTTGAGCCCTCACCTCTGCCTCCTTGTATGTGCATTACCAGGAAGCTGGCAAGGGCCTCTGCCATCCCTGTGAGTCTTGTCAAGAGGATTTAGGCAGGGCCTGATTTCCAGTGTTTGTACTGTGCAAATGACAGGTTTTGTGGTTTTTGTGTTTCTGTTTTGTATTTGCCACAATAATAGCTGCGTCCCATCAGATTGACATGGCCTTGCATAGCCTTTGGCCTCACTTTCTGCCTCTCTGCCCCTTCCTCACTATCACCCAGACTCTTCCATTTTCTTCAGTTTCCAAATATTTCATACTTTGTGTATGAGGTGGAAAAGGGCTGGTCTCTTTGGCTCATCACAAGGGGCCATATCATGACTGACACCCTGTAACAAAAGATAGGTTAACAAGAAAAAGAGCATACACATTGATTTTGTCATAGTTTCATGGGGCACAGGAGCCTCTTCAGATTGAAGACCCAAAAGAATTATCCCTTTATGCTCAGGTTCAGTGACGGCCGCGTAGAAATATAATTGGATAAAAAGGGGGTGCGTGAATGAAAATAGACTGGGGTGGGGGTGGAGGTGACCAGCAAGGCTTGTTTATTCAGATTCTTCTTGGCCCCTCCCTTGTGGTATTTTTTCCTCCTAAGTTTGGGGGTTTGGGAAAGGGCTGGCCTGGAATGAGGGTCTTAATTTCTTTGTGGCCAGCTCTGCCAGAGATAGATGGGGGTGGGAGATTAGGGTAACGGTTCCGAGTTTTAGGGCTCGCTTTGGGAGTTCTGTGTTTCCATTCCCCAGCTTGGGAAAGAGGATTCCTATTTCCTCTGGCTTCTTCAGGGCAGAATGAGTGGTGAGAGCCAGGTGGGCAGGACAAGGAGAGAGAAACTGCTGGGAGGCCTTTGCTCTGGCATGTAGTTTTCTGAACCCTAACAGCTGGAATGTTTTTAGTTTTCCCTGGAAAATTCTTACTGATTCATTAACCCTTGAAAAAAAGTTAACCCTAAGAGGAAATTTCTGAGATAGCCTAGATGTAGTCATAAAGGTCAGAGGATGTAGAGGAAAAGAGTTAGTTAAGTTAATGGGGGTGTGACCACCATGGAAACACGGTATTTTGCTTACAACCCCTGCTATTCCAGAAGCCACAGTCACGTCTCACAGACAGCCCTCCTATCCTGGGAGTTGCCTGCATTGTCTTATCCCATTCTTATTTATAGCCAATGTCTGGTCAGTGTAAGCAATTTAAGCTTCCTTTCCCTGAAATTGTCATTGTAAGCTACTCTGGCTCCTTGGGTTGAGAGACATTTTTCCAGTGGTTCCTAGCCTTGCTGCTGGTGGCTACAGGAACTTAGCCCAGGACCAGCCCTTTCTTTCTAGCTAGCATTCAGAACAGCGCAGAAATCCCTCCAGTGTCAGATCCTTCAGATTTCTCAGTCTGAAGAGTTTTTGTCTGTGGCACACAGAGCAGTTAAAATGCTGGTGAAGACACCCAGGTCCCATGTTGGAGGACCTGGGTTTGATGCTCATCTTTAGCTCCTGATGCCAACTTCCTGCCGGGGCAGACCCTGCGAGACAGCAATGATGGCTCTAGTCACTGGGACGCTGCTACCGCCTTGGGAGACCTGGACTGAGTTCCCGCTTCTTGGCTTCAGCATGAGCTGTTGCTGGCATCTAGGGAGTGAAACAGTGGATGGCAGCGCTCTCTCCCCACCCTGCCCCAACGTGTATGTGTATGTGTCTGTGTGTGTCCTCTCTGCCTTTCAGAAATATAAATACATTTTTTAGAAGTTTTGGTTTGGAGCTGGCACCGTGGCGCAGTAGGTTAATCCTCCGCCTGCAGCGCTGGCATCCCATATGGGCGCCGGTTCTAGTCCTGGCTGGTCCACTTCCAATCCAGCTCTCTGCTGCGGACTGGGAAAGCAGTAGAATATGGCCCAAATGCATGGGCCCCTGCACCCACAGGAAGAATCTCCTGGCTTCTGGCTTCGGATTGGTGTAGCTCCAGCCGTTGCGGCCATTTGGGGAATGAACCAACAGAAGGAAGATCTTTCTGTCTCTCCCTCTCACTGTCTGTAACTCTATCTCTAAAATAAATAAATAAAATCTTTAAAAAAAAGTTTTGGTTTACCCTCTCAGAAGGGCTTTCTCTCATCTCTCTCTTCTAAATTATATCTGTTTGATTGTCTCTCTAATAGTCCCTTTGTTCTTCATAACAACACACTTTATCTAAACAATTGTTTGCTTAGTGCCTTATCCTCTTTTTAAAAGCAACAGACTTCTTGAATAAGTGAACAAATGATTGACTTCTTGTGAGTGGCATTGGATGTGAGGGGAACTTCTTCTTAAATACTGTTGTGGGGCCAGATGAATGGTGTGGTAGGTTGAGTCACAGCTTAAAACACCAGCATCCCATATGAATGACGGTTCCAGTCCCGGCTGCCCCACTTTCAGTCCAGCCCCTGCTATGGCCTGGGAAAGCAGCGGAAGATGTTCCAAGTCCTTGGGCCCCTGCCATCCACATGGGAGACCCAGATGGAGTCCTTGGCTGCTGGCTTCAGCCTGACCCAGTCCTGGCTGTTGTGGCTATTTGGGGAGTAAACCACCTGATGAAAGATCTCTCTCTCTCTCTCTCTCTCTCCCTCTCTCTCTTTCCCCTCTGTTTCTCTCTCTCTGTGTCACTGTATCTTTCAAATAAATAAATTTTTAAAATCTGTTGCAGACCCCACAGAAAAACCTGTGTCCATGACCCTGACCCTCTATAAGCAGATCACTGACACTGAGGTGGCGGAAGAAAGTAGATGTTTATTTTGCAACATTCAAAGCAAGAAGTTGGGCAGCTATTGCTCAAGTCTCAAATGTCCCAAGGGATTAGGGTGGTGACTTTTACGGATTAAATCTGGGGTCGAGCAGTGCATGATTGGCTTGCCTGTGGGTTCTTGGTTGATCCTTGGTGCTCATGGCCTTCCCCCAGTGGGCCAGTGACAGGAAGCCAGCGGGGTCTGAGAACCCTGGGATGGTAAAGTAGGCTCCTGCCACTTTGTGGTCTCAGGTAGATTGGTTATTACTTCGTTTGATCAGGGTCTATGAGTTACTATGAAGCTCTTAAGTAAAGTCTAGCATTAGGGTATTAACTATTGAGGTGACAATTAAATTCTAAATCGTTGTCATCTGGGGTCTTGTGTGGCCAGCCTGATCTTGTGTCAGTCCCTTTGTCAGTTAGTGAGTTAAATAGGGGCTCTGTTCATACTACTGCTGATAAAGCACCAAGGCGTGATCATTGACAAAGTAGAGAGTCTTGGGCCAAATTCTGCCCTCATTTACATATAAAAAGAACTCTTTTGAAGGGAAAGATCAACCTAGTTAGAAAGGAGTCAGGAGCAGGTGTTGGCTTAATGGTTGAAACGCCCACATCCCACATCAGAGTGCCTGAGTCCCAGGCCCGGCTCAAGCTCCCAATGCCAGCTTCCTGCTAATGCAGACCTTGGGAGGCAGCAGCTTCCTGCCACCCATATGGGAGACCTGAGGTTCCCAGCTCCCAGCTTTTGGGCAGCCCAGCCCTGGCTATTGCAGGCATTTGGGGAGCGAAGGAGCAGATGGGAGCATATGCCGCTCCTCTCTCCACCCCCGCCCTCTTAACTTGAAAAAAAAAAAAGAATTCATGTGGGAAGTGGTAGTTGAAAATGTTTTCCAAATGACAAGGCACAGCATTTCACCTCAGGAAAGAGCCCAAGACAAGACACATATATGGGCATTAGAATCTTAATAACAAACAGATGTGGGAGAAAAAAATATCCCATCCCAAATGTATTCCTTTGGCATATTTTGATTTGGTTCTTCAGAGAAACTGCAGACCTCTGCAGGCACGGGAAGGGCTCTGAAAAGCTGTCCTATAAAAAGCAGTTCAGTCTGTCTACATTAGTGACGTCAGCAGAGAGGCAGGCAGAGGCTTTTCCATCTCCTAGCCCCCCTTTCCGCTTAGGGAAGAACTTGTCATGGGAAGGAGCGGTGGGAGGTCTGAGACCTGTCCCCGAGGTGACTAAGGAGGCTGTTACCTGGGAGACTCACCTGCACAGCAGGACAACCCTTG